TAGGTGCGGTCACTGGATGTGTGAGGATTGTTTAAACCATTTTGCAGGAACCGGGAATTTCGTATGTAGCTTGTGTTGGGAGGAAACGGCACTCATAGTGGTGTTGGAGGGGGAAGAATGAAACATGACTGAAAATTTAGACGGCATCTATATAAGCAGATGAATATATGACAGCTTAGAGGTGATTCAAGTACTTAGATATAGGGCTCTGATGGATGAAGAACATATAACTGCACCTTGGGTGATTTAGAATTAGAGCAAAAGGCACAGACGTCAGCCTTTGACGTATATACATAAGGCGATGTATTGTACTATGCAATCCATAATGAGAATCTCCAGGTTGCTGTAGCTGGCTGCCTATGGAGCATTGATTTATAATCAAGGTGGGTATTGAAAACAGGGTAGTCAGGTCTAATACACAGGGGAACCGTGCTGTTTTTATTGTTCTTCAGTATTACTTGCTTCGCAGCCGTTTCCCCCCATGATGGAAAGGGGGCAATGTCAACCGTGGCCACTTAACATGGGTACTTGGGTAAGGGATCTTGTATATTTGATAATAAAAGGACCATAGAAACCAAAATTGAACCTGACACACCTATTGCGGGATCTTTATCGATGCTCCTGGCTGAAGGCAGTACGCAAAGGACCAACCAAACAGAATGAACCTAGACTGCCTTCCTCATAATACGATATGAGACCAGAAAGCCTCAGCCCTGCCTCGCAATTTGCTAACTCTAAATTATTCCTACTCCCAGTGGACGCTCACGGTCCGTAACACATGAATTTGTGTACCACCTGCCTGGAGCTGATTAAGTTCATTTATTTGCGTCCTGTCTGGCCATGAGTGTTTTTGAATCCGGTCTAATGCACGTTTGAGATAATCTAGAATGATTGTATCACAGAGACAAGTGAAGACGGGCATCCGGAGAAGAGAAATAGCCCTCTTACCTTCCAGAGAAACTCAACGCCAATAAGGACACTATAGATATCTATATCTAGACTAAATTGGTTGCAAAGTAACCCTATTTGCATTGAGGCTTTTAGTTAAACGGGAGACGAAAGACGAGACTGCATGTGGTCGTGCCAGTCTTCGAATTGTTCCTCAATTCTAGTTTGATGTGGACAGCTCGGGATAACATAGCGCGCAGGATACATAGTATCCCTGATACAGTTTAGTGTACCTCAGGGGTAGGCCGATGTACTCCGTGAGGTTGATACAGTAGATGTCCTCTGTGCCATGTGGATTTGCACACCTAATCTAGTTTAGCGTACCTCGCAAAGTAGGCGCCGTCTTTGCCATCAAATCGATGGTCGGCTTTGTCACCATAACTACTACAGTATCACCTTACAGTAATGACTTTGACATGAAAGTTATGTCGGTTCTGCAGTTTTCCTAAGTCGGCTGTGGCTGATGTTCTTTTCCATCATGGCGATCGGCGCAGTACAGCTGCATGAGCCTTATCAACTTGATTAACATCACCATACATGCAGGTGAAAACCTCTTGGTTCCTCGGCCACAGTAATAGGCCCAAAGCAAATCTACCCCAGTTCCCATATTATAACGAAGATCAGATTCAGCTCAGTTAAGAAAGCCTATTTTGCCAGTGGTATATGTATATTGCGGCATGATCGTCTGATGCAGTACATACTGTATCTGGGCCAATTGATACATTTGGCTATTCTATGGTGTATCTTTATCTATTGTATGTACGATCTGATACATTTTCAATGAGATTTGGTTTCTCTGTTACATGCCTTCTCCATCAAGGGTAAGTCAGCCAGCCTGTAGCTTGGTCCAGCAGTGTACGTCAGTTTATAGGATGGCCCTATTCAGAAGCGGTTAGCGTACCCCGCGAGGTAGGCAGCACCACTGAGCACTATTCAGCAGGCATCAATATCAAGCGCTGCAGCGCAACCACAATTCCTACGCCCAGTTACCACACAGGTCATCGCGATGACTATCGTACAGGAAGTCTGTCGATCATCTATCCAATAGCCTTTAGGGCCCTTCTAGACTTGAGTTTTTCCATCGAGATTCCAATGCAGCGATTGAGCCTCAGTGACCCATGTGGTTTCTTTTATCGCCAGAATCTCACTTTTAAAGAGCACAGCTCCCTTCACCAGTGGTCTCTCCTACACAGCGTTGACGTTAAGTGAGACATATCCTCACAGGATGACCTGTTATTGGGCAGATGCCGAGGTTGTGGTTGCCATCTATTTCCTCTCTCGCGGCTTCAGTGAAGCAGCGGTGGCTGAACTTCTTTCTCACCGAGGCTTTTGGCGTAGTGCGCGTGCGGTACACCACAAGGTGCTTGATATTCTTACAAAATTTCCGTACCTTCAGAAATCACCGCGATTTTGGGACATTGAAGCAGTAGATCAGTGGCTGGATTGCCAGAGTTTAGACCACAAGACCGTCAACAACTTGATTTACTGTTTGAATGATGATGCGAAGGTCGCTGAACAGGTACGTATGTTCCTTTTGTATAATGTGCATATGGACCAGAGTTCAACACTAACGTCTAATGGCACCCAGCATGGCATATTAATTTCCGTTGTTGAAGTTTTAAGCCATATACAACGGCATCGGGTTCCTCCTGCCTACCAATAATGTATAAATCTTTTTTATTGTGTAATGGAACGAACCAAAAATGTCGTATGGCGCATATATTCGACAGCATAGTCATCCTAAAACACGGCACATACATCCAAGCATCGAGTTTCCGCTAGATCGAGCTTACCAAGGGGATTATGAATATTTTCAAGGTAATCAATATAATTGACGCATCGAAGCCAGCCATGACCCGGATGTTAGCTACACGCCCCAAAGCGAGTAAGATGGGAAAGGATATAGATCCTAAATGCCCATCGTAGTTTAGTAGTGGGCTATAATGTCATTGCCTGTTTTCTTTCTTGATAAGACAGCGAAGAGTATAAGATTTGAACAACGACGGACGGATTAGAATCGATTAATTCCAAACCGATGGCGGGGCGGAACCCATCAGCTTGTTCGAGACTAATATCGAACCACATTGAGAAAAGGCGAATGAGAATACCTCGGTCCTAGGGGCGACGTTCAGCTTAGTTGCCCAGTCAGATGCATCAGGGCAGGACAAAAATTTCGGTCCCGCAGCAGTGGTGCTAGGATCCCAATTGTGCTGGGTTGGTTCAATAGAACACGTCGGACTAAGCAGTAGAGGTATTAACTTTGTTTTACGCCATTAGTCTGATATATAGGATAGCATGCTAAAGGGAGATAAGAAAAACAGACTATCTATGCTATTCTACAGGCTACCTTAGAATTGACAGCGCGATGTTTCCCCTTCCGCCTCCAACCAAATTCTGGGTACGGCAATGGGGATGATGTAGCAGAATTGCTCGTCATGTATTATGTATATGAATTTGTACCTGAGAACTCTCAGCATGTCTATTCAATCAACGTGCTCACCGTGCTCAGCAGATATTGAAAACGTTCGTTGCCAGAAATCCTTCATAAAAGCCATGTTTCCACAAGCTAAGCCCACTTGAGCTTCAGCGGGAAATTACTAACCTACAACCAATTACAGTAATCAGAATTCTCCTGGCGTAATTATATGGACTATACAATCTTTCTAATAAGGCAGGCATCTCCCTATGTGCCATCATATTTGAGTCATTGGCCATTCAGAAAAGGCACACGGATAGTCTAGGTAGGCTGTCATAACCTATCTATCAAATACCTGATTAGACTAACGTCAACTCTAGGTGTTGGATGTTTTTGATCGCTCTCTTTATTCCCCGAAAAATCTCCATTTCATCTAGATTTCTTCATTTCCAATATAATTATTAGATTAAGAAAGGCTAACTAACTTGACATGAAGCTTTATCGCGACTGTGGTGGTTTGACTATGGCGGAAAACCGTCACGGATGTCTGGTCGTAGAATTGGGTTGACTCTTTACTGGGTTAGAGTCAGCTGACGTGACCTGTAGCCATATATCCATCTATTTGATTGGCTGCCACAAATGCGATGAGTGAAGGAATGTAATGAACCTGTTACTGTAGAGATTGGGCACACGGTTTGTATTGCTTGCATAATGTGACAAAAGATTTCATCTGTTGATCCAACCAGCGAGAAATTTCAATAACTCATCTCGAGCCAGGGCCTCTGCGAGTGTGCTCAAAACAAGAGCCACATACTTGTTGCGCATTCTAGCGCTAATTTCTCTTACATTGTCGCTTGATCGGTCCCGACACAGTGCTCCATTCGGCAGGCCTCTTCGTCCCTCGATCGACAGTCACTTTGCATTCTGTTTCGCTCAGTTGCTGTAAGGCATAGCGGATTCTCTCAGGAAGCTCTGTACGGCTGAACCGAACCTGTACTGGGATATCTAGGACAACATCGGATGAGGTTCCCGAAATGAACGCCTTTGAAAGGGAGCACTCATCACTAGGCACGACGTTGTCGGGAGAAAGACTGAGGATCCAATGTGAGAGAGAAGAGATCCGGGAGGCTGCACTTGAGCTTCTTGCTCCAGCTAATGTGCCCACGCTGCAATTCTGTTCTCACGAATGAGCTCTTCGTTACTGTCTTTGTTATAATGGGCTGTGAAACATACCAAGTTATCTTCTCTCCCCTCCCAACAAGACTCCCCACAGGGTTTGACAATCTTTGAACCATGTGGTCCTCGGATACAAAAATCTTGGCCACTAATCTCACCAAAGTCGGATTGTCTCAGACAATTTGGCATACCGTCATTGTAGGGGTCGGTCGTAAGCTCTGCTGCATGGGGGTAAGTTTAGTGACGCTACTAGGCAAGCCCGTCCCAAACCTACTCGTTGATAGAAGCAATGGCCGGATACACACAGGTGAAGATGCTGTCTCCGTCTCGGCATTGGGCAAGTGGAGACTGTCAGTACTGGGCCGTAGCAACGTGGTCACTGATGGTGCATCCTTACCATGGGCATTCTCAAATGACCCGGGTCGATCTGGTGTAATGTCCTGACAGCTCTGTTCAGGACTGCTGACGACATCTGACATTGGCAAGTCTGGTGTTGTGGGCGTGTTTGGGACTGTATCGCCTTCAGAAATGTCTCCATCCTCCGGAGCCTCTCCTAACTGGAAGAGGCTGTTTGGGCTCTCATATTTGCCTGCCTCCGCGTTCTTAGTTACCATTTTGCGTTCTTTTATCAATCAGGGGGTGAAATAAGTAGTATAGCTAATGGTAGTCTGCTCTTGTGGACGTCTAGGCAACACGGGTTTGGCTTTGGGAGATAGCCCACAGAAGTCTGGTGCACAGGTGAGTATGAAGAATCCCCGCGTGACTACAACGTGATTCTTATAGTACTGGCGCAAGCTCATCATGCGAAAGCGCTTGGAATGCTGCGTAAAATACATCACTTTTCCACGAGTTCATATCATCAGTCTGCATGAGGTTTAGGAACTAGTCAAACCAGATGACCCTCCGTGGATTTTTGAGTCAAAGTTTCCACCGGATCTGTGTAGGTGTTCACGTCCATATCCGAGCTATGGTACTCAACTTGAGAGTTCATACTAGGCGGTCACTGGGCCAGGAGGCCCAAATATTCGTATAGATGAAGAGAACTGTATGGCTTGTATTGCGTTGATGCTTGACTTGGCTGGTTAAACCATCCATGTCGCCGAGTGGGTTGGATGAATTCTCCAGTTATTCTGGTGAACCGGCTGACTAATCCATATTAGGTTCCACATTGTAGATTTGGGTTTAGCGTGCCTCGCGAGATACACTATACCCTCCTGGGATAGGGTAGTATGTGTAACCACACTAGACTGCTCAGGGCTGGAAATGGAGGCCAGATCACATCTATAGAAAGACATAATATTGGCCGGTTATGTCAACAGAGACTAGTCACATGCTGATCGGCTGATATGGTCGGCGGGTCCACTATTAAAAACATCTTAAGAGCACATTCACTATAATTTGAGTGAATGTGTTCGCATAAAACTTCAAGCGCTATAACAATAAAGCAAAAGCTTAAACTCACTGATGGATTGATTAGGGGACAGTAAGGTCAGCTGGAAAGGAAGTAGCAAAGCCCGATGCTATTCAAGTCAATATTTACAGAGGGGTGGATTGGTAGGGCCCACCCCATCAAGCAAAATAAATATTATGTCAGCGTTGAAAGCAGACTCACCTACACTGCCCAGTACTATTCCAGAGACTGGCGTCAAGTTTCTTCGCTCGCCACGGAAAACCATCTGACCGCGACGCATCATTAGGGGCGCACCACGACTAGAGACTAGACCATGAGCCCAAAGAAATTAAAAAGAGAGAAGCACCAATGCTGATATTTATGGTTGTTGGCCCTATATATTGGGCTTACACCTCCCGAGGGACTATTCCCACCGGCGGATAAACGAGATCGATCCAGGTTGGAACACCTATTTATACCAAAAGCCTATATTACTATCTAAACACCCTATTAACAGGTGCATTTATTGGATACAATCCCGTACCACGATCAGGATGAAGGTTTACACCAGTATCACCCTTGCCAGCATCCTCGCCGTGCAGACTGCCAATGCTTTCGCTCAGCATCACCAGTCTAGCGCCGAGCAGGATATTCACTGGAAGTTTGCATTGTACCAGAATGAACAGTGTTCCGGACAAGCAACGATATTTTCGGGGAATGAATCTGTTTCCTGTCAGCGCCACAATATCCTGAATGGGGGCGCCGTTGGTTATTTGAAGATAGCAGTGGAGCCTCAGTGTATCATCTCGTTGTTTGAGAATGATGACTGCACCGATGAGAGCGTTTGCCTTTGGCATGTAATGGGAACTGATTG